GACACGTTTTGTGTCACTTTTGCACGATACAGTGGTTAGCGTTGTTGCCTCACAGCGAGTGAGGTTTGAATCCCCCGTCTGACAGGAGCCTCTCTGTGTGGAGTTTGCATGTTCTCCCTGTGCATGTGTAGCTTCTCTCCTGGTACTCCGGCTTCCTCCCGCAGTCCAAACACATGCTGGTTAGGTTAACTGGAGACTCTAAATTGCCCGTAGGTGTAAATGTGAGTGTGGCTGGTTGTCTGTCTGTATATGTCAGCCCTGTGATTGGCTGGTGAACAGTGACAGGATGGATGACTTGTGTAAATCAGTGTGATGAAAGATACACCAGAAAACTCAAAGTAATTGGTCTTTTTCGATTCTCTGATTTTTTTTAAATTTTCAAACGCCAAACAGAATTTACATTTTTTGACACTTCAAATCCAAGTCTCAACTGGAAGGTTGGGAGTTTGAACCCCAGCTCCTGAAGCCACATGTCCGATGTGGCCTTGGGCAAGACACTTAACTCAAAGTTGCTGCCGCTGCTTCGACGGCGGCGTATCAATGTGTATGAATGGATAAGTAACTTCTGATGGTCTCTTTACTCAGCAGCCTCTACAATGTGTGTGTAAATGTGTAGGTGTGACCTGCAGAGTAAAAGAGCTTTGAGTACACTAAATGTGCTATACAAAAAATCCAAGTCCATTTTCCGTTTACCAATAACTTAGATTCCTGATCAAATTGATTTCAGTTACATATCGTCTGTTTTTGTGGATCATTTTCAGTTAGGCCTTGTGAAAAAAGCTTTAAATAATGTATTGCTGCATAAATCATTATATATTTAGGAAAAACACTTCAAGTGTAATTTGCAAGTGGGTCATACACCCAGGTGTCCACTGTTACCCCTGTATGTTAAATCCACTGCTGAAGGGCTTTAAAATAAATCATTAAAGCAACATTTTCCCTTAGTTAGATGTGTTCAGTGTGTGAGCCCCAGAGTGTATTACTGTCTGAACCATAATCAAGGTTTTGCTTTGGGGTCCCTCAGGTGACATCTTCACCTTGGCCGAGTACACACTCGTCTAGCTTCATTGCTTACTAATTGAAAGTTATTCATGAAACAAGGGTTAGACAAACTCCTCTTGCAGCCGATTGGCTAATCGTCTTAAACACTGCTTACTTCAAATGAAATATGTTATATAAGAAGTACGAGCAAAGCTGCCATAAAGCTGGCAAGTCATTCAGCCTGCCAACTTAAAGCATTTTCCTATATAAGTTCTGATTAGTGAACATGGACGACAGTCATTGCATGATAGCAACTGAATGATAAAATACCTTCTCGGGGGTCAGAAAGTAGTTTGAGTTCCAATGAGCTGAGAAAAATAATCGCAGTCATTATTTCAAGGAAGTTGATTTTCTACCCCAAAAATGTTCAGACGTGTGGAAATAGCTTTAAATAATAATAATAATAAAAACCCTTCTGATGCATCTGTGGTAGAAAGTCAGTTACAAACATTCTGCATACTGATAAATGGGATTTGTTTTTGTATCTGTCCTGTCCCGGGGCGTCGAGTTTAACTGTCTGGTCTCAGGCCAACCAGTCAGTAGACTTCATCAAGACATCATCACTGACACATTTTAGGTATAGACGAGACTTTGGACTTCCATTACGTAAAGCTTGTGTTTAAATTTTTAAACAGACTTGCTCCTCAGCTTCTCTGCAGGCACATACAGAGACGACAGTTCTGTAGCAGAGCAGCTTCAAGTGGTAACTATAAAGTTTACATTTGCTCTAACAGCTTTTTCTGTGAAAGGAGTCAAATCCTGGAACTCGCTACCTGACCACTCGAAGCTCACTGCAAACTTTACCACTTTAAGAGAGATACCAAATCCTGGTTAGTTCAGCAACAGACTTGTACTCATGTTTAAATGTTTGTAGCTCTATCACAGCTTCAGTGTGTCTGAATGTATCCTGCTGTACCCAGTTCATTCTGTCTTTTTCCTTTTTAACTGTTTTATCTTCTAAAAACGAGCCAGCCGCTATAAACACTATGATACTTGCATCGGACTCTGTTTTCAGTTTGTCTATTTATATTGTTTCTGTCCCTATCTAATAAACTATAAAATAAAATACAAATAAATATCAGGAGCTATCCAAACAGAAGACACACAACATTTAGAATTGGATGAACAGAGGTCGGATGAGTGTCAGAAAACAGCACCTTTAGGCAATGACGTTGGAGTGTTTTAAACTGTCCTGATGTTAAATTAAAGAGCTCAAATGCTGAACTTGAAAATAATCAGACTGTAGTTACATAATATTTAATTAATTAGATGGAACAAGATGATGGGAGACATGTTTAGAGGTTATCATCCTGATCATCAGGGTCCTAACATGGCACCACTAAATTGCCCATTGTCCTCAGCTGTCCTCACTGCTGCATTTCAAAACGTGAGCTGTTATATTGTGACATTATGACATTATGAACATCTATCTTGGTATTGTTTTCAGCTGCATCTTACAAAGGTTGTGTCAGCAGTAACACAGATCCGTCTTGCAGACAGTCTCCCAGCTGCCTCCTTAAACCATTCACTGCTCTATACAATTCTCCATCCAGAATTTCATTATCTTCAAACGCTCGTCACTCCAATGTCTTGCATGTTCTATATTATTAAATTATCATATAGTGTCATCAACCTTTACTGCCATGTCTGTCCACAACTGTAAGGTAAATGTAATGTAATAATGTTAAATCAACACCAAAGCAAACACAGATGCTCCGCCGATCATGAAGCTGTTTGTTGAACACTTACTGACCTAGTTTCCTCCTGTCTTGATCCTTGCTTGTGTTACTTCCTGTCAGATGTACGCTGCTCAGGACATAAATTAAATTGTAATAGATTGATTTTTATTTGACATGGATCATCACAGTCGACGAGCCAGATGCATTGTTTGAGTGTTTTAAGCTCATTCTCAACACTTGTCCACACAAGGCTTTTGAGAGACAGAAAAGCTAAGATGTACTATAATGATACAGTGACAGTAGTGAAGCAACACATCATGAATGACATGTATAAGCTGTAAACCAATTAAACAAAGGCAACATGATGAGACAATAAACCAGTTGTGTAAGCTATTCATGGGAGCACTGTTGTTTTAATCTGAGCTGTTGTTTGAGTCCTCTGTTAAAAGCATTACTGTTGGTCTCCAGTTTGAAGCTGGTAGGTAGTTACACCCCCTTTGTAGAGAAAGCAGACAGAGCTGAAGCGGTGTTGTACATTGGGACCAGACATTCAACTCTGATGGAGGCTTGTGTGATTGTGCTGAGAGCTCTGATGACTAGTGGCTTATTAAAAAAACAGTTTCAGGTGACTGAAGTGTCGATCAATCATCATGTGTATAGCCAATTTATAGTGTTAACTCGAGACGCTTTATAAATGAGCATACGGGATAAGATGTACGAAGGATTTCTCCTTTGTATTCCTCATGTTCCTGTTGTCCACACTTCCTTGCCGCTTAAGTGGAGGTCGGAGCAGGCCTTTCATTAATGAGGACGCCCGTAGTTGTGGGGACGACACAGTCCGATGGTGGAGGCTGGGCGTTGGGTGGTAGTGGGATGACACAGTCCGATGGTGGAGGCTGGGCGTTGGGTGGTAGTGGGATGACACAGTCCGTTGTTGGAGGCTGGTTGTTGGGTGGTAGTGGGATGACACAGTTCGATGGTGGAGGCTGGGCGTTGGGTGGTAGTGGGATGACACAGTTCGATGGTGGAGGCTGGGCGTTGGGTGGTAGTGGGATGACACAGTTCGATGGTGGAGGCTGGGCGTTGGGTGGTAGTGGATGACACAGTTCGATGGTGGTGGCTGGGCGTTGGGTGGTAGTGGGATGACACAGTTCGATGGTGGTGGCTGGGCGTTGGGTGGTAGTGGGATGACACAGTTCGATGGTGGAGGCTGGGCGTTGGGTGGTAGTGGGATGACACAGTTCGATGGTGGAGGCTGGGCGTTGGGTGGTAGTGGGATGACACAGTTCGATGGTGGTGGCTGGGCGTTGGGTGGTAGTGGGATGACACAGTTCGATGGTGGTGGCTGGGCGTTGGGTGGTAGTGGGATGACACAGTTCGATGGTGGTGGCTGGGCGTTGGGTGGTAGTGGGATGACACAGTTCGATGGTGGTGGCTGGGCGTTGGGTGGTAGTGGGATGACACAGTTCGATGGTGGAGGCTGGGCGTTGGGTGGTAGTGGGATGACACAGTTCGATGGTGGAGGCTGGGCGTTGGGTGGTAGTGGGATGACACAGTTCGATGGTGGTGGCTGGGCGTTGGGTGGTAGTGGGATGACACAGTTCGATGGTGGTGGCTGGGCGTTGGGTGGTAGTGGGATGACACAGTCCGATGGTGGTGGCTGGGCATCTGGTGGTAGTGGGATGACATAGTTCGATGGTGGTGGCTGGGCGACTGGTGGTAGTTGGATGACACAGTCCGATGTTGGAGGCTGGGCGTTGGGTGGTAGTGGGAGGACACAGTCCGATGGTAGTGGCTTCAGGGAGGTTGGGTTTTAGTAGTGCCAGATCACCGCACTGAAGGTTGGGAGAGCATGACTTTGATTGCTTGTATATCGAGATAATTGGTCTTTATGTAGTTGGAGCTTCTTACCATGACGTAATGCGATATGACAAATGTGAAAAAATCATTGCATGCATGTATATCTTCCCTGCTAATAAAATGAAAGCAGTTTAGATCTGGTTTGACCTTCTTACAAATGTACTTAACCTGTCTGTCACATTTTAATTTCTCATCCAGAATGATGATACCTTCATCCACTGCTTCCATTATTTTGTCCTTTATCCATCCCTCAAATAAATCATTTATAGACCTATTACGTATGAAAAAGCACATGGAAGTTGTTTTTTTTACATTAAGAGTTAAATGAGACGATAATGTTTCATTTTTCATTGACCAAAGGCACTAAAAACGTGTATGTTCCTTTAGAGCTAATCCCCTTTATTTCTAAATCCCCCACAGGATGGCCGTGTGTCCTTCATCGGCCACCAGCTGGGTGGCGTGTCCTTCTCGCCCAACAGCCGGGACCAGCAGGTCAAGTTCGCCCGTGCTGTCCAGATTACCTACTACCTCCGCAACCATGGCCCTGTGGTGCAGGATGCCATCGCAGAGCGCTGGGAGAACGAGTTCTGCGCCCTGGTCAACCGGCTGTCCACAGCCGAGGCCCCCCATGCAACCGACCAGCTCCACGTCCAGTCGCTCACCTCCTTCAGCCTGTGGCGGGATTTCCACCAGACCGGCGTCTTGGCCAAGGGGGAAGTGCTGGTCAGTCTCGTGCTGGTACTCTTGGCCGCCACCATCTCTAGCTCCATGCGGGACTGTCTAAGGGGGAAGCCGTTCCTGGGCCTCCTGGGCGTGCTGACCATCTGTATCGCCAACGTCACGGCTGCAGGAATCTTTTTTATATCAGACGGGAAGTTCAACTCCACGCTGCTAGGAATCCCATTCTTTGCTATGGGTGAGTGGACGCTCATGTTGTGAAAGGTTTTGACTGCATCTTCTGTGTGTGTGTGTGTGTGTGTGTGTGTGTGTGTGTGTGTGTGTGTGTGTGTGTGTGTCTGTGTGTGTGTGTGTGTGTGTGTGTGTGTGTGTGTGTGTGTGTGTGTGTGTGTGTGTGTGTGTGTGTGTGTGTGTGTGTAGTGGTTGGTTAGGGGCCTTATCAGCGGTAGACACTCGTATTGAGTTGATTGGGAAAGGAATTAGCTGAATTGTGATGGGCTTGTCTCCATATGTCTCCATATGTGTGTCTCCACACTCCATGTGTGTGTCTGTGTGGATCTTACTGCTGCGTTTGAAGATCACATTCTTTTGTCAGGAAACAGAAAAAGAAAGTAATTCTGTGATTCTTGCAGAGCGTACACATTCAATCGTAGTGCAACATGTTTCAGTATTTCACCAGGCGTTGGGTGTTGTTATTCTTAGTGTGGTGGCTTTGACTGTATACTCTTTTATAGTATAACTCAACCATTAGTTACAACTAACCGCTAACACACATCACTGTGAAACTGTGTAAGAAAAGACTCACAGTTAGATATATTATAGGATTCAGTTTGATGTTTAAGTTGTGTGTCAGTGGTGTCATGGAACATAATGATTTGAATCAGAGTTGAAAAAATCTGTTTGAAGTTTTGAAATAAAATGTTAGAAACAAATGTCATCATTTGGCAGGTAGGTGGAATAAGAGTGAACAAAGGATGTGACACATGAACTGACACTGATTCTAACATCCTGAAGTCATTAGAACTCATTATTCTGACTCACCAAAGAACAACACTGGTGTTTAAAATACATTTATTGCAGTTGCCTTGTCAGAATGGTAAATGGACTTGAGCTCGTAGCGTGCTTTTCTAGTCTTTTGACTACTTAGGGCGCGGGTCATACTTGCAACCCGTACCATGCCTAAGCACGCTTCATCTCTAAAGTCCAGTTAGTTTGACCAGTGTGGCCTCAGTGCCGTGCTCAAGCACCTTACACTTCCCTTGACCTTCTGGTTAGGAGACAACCGACTCTACCAACTGAGTCACAGCCTAATGGTAACATTAGGTCCTAGTGGTAGTTTGGTTTTAAACCTCCTATTGGATTTACACCCTGGATGTGTTCTAGATGAAGCAGCTACACACCAGACACTTTGATTAAAAGTAAGTTGGCTTCTGAGAAGAACTTCCTCTTTGTCTCCATGTGTTGATTTTGGCACCCTCCTGTAACCAAAGCAGTATGTCTCTTCTGTTTGCTGAGGTCCTGTCATGTGTAAAGCATTTTCCAACAATGAATTGGCTATTGTCTTTTTCTACGGTAAAATGTTTCATAAATTGTCGGTCTTAGGGCGCTCTCACACTAAGCCCAGTTTCCCTGTTCTGTGCCGGAGCATGATTGGCCCCCTCCCTAGTCATTACCGGGCCTGAGCACAGTTACCTCTTGTACAAACGTCATCACATCGTAATGCGACACAAGCAATCAGGGGAATTCAACTCGAGCGAGTGGGAGGGGGGCTGACGTTTACTCCCTGCACAGAATGACATGCCCCCGACCGCTGTGATCTCAGTGCATGTAGTGAAACTGCTGCATTATGTTTTCTCTTCTCCAGTATGTTGTTCTGCGCTCTGAAGTTCATAGTGTCATTCTGTTGAACTACACATAGACATTGACATAAGGTAAAATATTCTCATTATAGCATTGCATAGTGGACTCTGCTCGTCCCCTACTTCCACATCGTTCCTTTTATGTCCTATCTTGCCCCTCCCCTCCCCTCTTTTTACACGAATATGTCAGTCTGTTTCTTAAGCATGTTGTCACGTCTGACACCTTCCCAATGGAGGCAGTTCCAGACATTCAACAACACAATATATAAAAGATGAATCCGCTGATTGTCTTGAATTTTTTTTAAGCTACAGCGGCATCAAAATGAATTTCAGAATGTTTTATAGTCAGATAAAAACTCATCACAGAGGCTTCGAGGAGGATGCATTATATTTCTCAAATGTTTCTGACTGCTAACTGTATCCTGAGTTCATGGATCAAGGCTTGTCCCTCTTTTTCTGATGTGTGATTTACATTTGAACATGTTTCCTGTAAATAAAAAGGATCGTGGCGTCAGTTTAGCGGAGGCATTGTAACCACTTAAAAGTATAATTGGCTGCTTCTGCTCATGTGTCCTTCTTAAAAGAGTTGAGGTTTGAGGTGCCACCTCTGATTAGGGTGAAATATAAAGGTTTAATGTCTGACAGTATATTCTTTATGTGAGGGGATGCTGTGAATGCAGGTGTTTCATTTAGGACTGCAGCAGCCATTCATCAGGCCTCACTCACAAGCAGCTTTTTGAAACATCAGTTCTGGTCGGCTTTTTTTTTTTTTCTTTGCTAAATGCATAATTTGGGTCATAAATGTTGTCAGCAAGATTTGCAGGATAAAAATGTGTTGTTCCTTAAAGCAACTTTAGGATCATAACAGCATGAAAAGAGATGCACTGTGAAAAAAAACAGCCATCTCCACTTGTGTAAAATAAAAACACATTGCTGTTAAATTGATGTACTTCTTTTAATTCCATATATTCAGTTTGAGAGACATACAAGCCCGTCGCAAACTCTTTATATGTATTTGTATTTACAGGATTTGAAAATATTCTGTTTGTCTTCCTCTGCCTCCTTCCCAGCTCCCTTTCCTACATCTCTTAGCTCCCTCGGATGTACTTTGTCCATTTACACTATACTGCCTACCTCGTCTTTCCTCCGTGCGCACTCTTAAGGTCACTGGATCCCTGCGGCTTTGGTTACAGCTCTGCTGCAGGCCGGCTGACATAACTGAAGTTTAAGTAAGACTCAGGAACAGGAGGCTGGATCGCTCCTTGTGACCCAGAGGCAGGAGGGGGGGGAGGAGGCGAGAAGGGGAGGTGTGATGGAGGCGGGGTGGTGAGAGACGCAAAAAAAAAATGTCAGGGAGGAAAGAGAGAGGTGGAAAAACCTGTGTGATGTACAGGAGTGTGTGTGTGTGTGTGTGTGTGTGTGTGTGTGTGTGTGTGTGTGTGTGTGTGTGTGTGTGTGTGTGTGTGGGGGGAAGCAGACTGAAACAGATCCAGATGTAAGAGGCAGAGGAGAAAGTCACATCGAGAGGGAGGAGGTCGAGGAGGGTGAAGGAGATAGAGAGGACTTCATTAAAGTAATTTCATATGACAGGACCTCAGAGGGAGCAGATGTCCACCTTCCTCTGGGGAGGTTCTGACTGAGACACACCCCTATCACTAAATCAATGCCACATCAGGGTAGACAGGGACAACTGAAATGGATACTGATACCCAATGTGGAACGGCAGTGTGGTGCCCCCTGTTGAGATGACATCACAATTGAAAGAGCAACTATGGGGGGATGGGATTTCTAACTGAAATTAAGCTTTTTTATTGGACTTATGAATTGAAATGTAAATATGATAATGAATAGTTTATTTAATTATTGATTAACTAGCCTGAAAAAAACAACAATACCCTTAACAGAGTTATCTTTTTTTTTTAACATTTATGATATTCCATCAGTGTTCCTGCAGTGGAATAAGGTCATAGTGAACAAGGACAGACTTAATTAAAAACCCCTATAATTAGTTTATTAGTGAAACAGTCAAAATACTTCATAATAAATTACTTAATGAGCACACACACACACACATGTACACGCACAAGCACACGCACACACACACACACACACACACACACACACACACACACACTAGAATTAAGTGTTTAGCTACTTCCTGTCAGAATTTGTTTTTGGTGAGTAAAACTGATCTCCAATAGGCAAACATTGGAAAATAATTGGAAAATATTTTTTGTTTTTTATAAGTTTTGAGAACATTTACAGGTAAAGCAGCATCATGCAAAAGTTTGTGCCTAGAATTTTACATCTCAGATAACTTTTCCCTTCATCAGAGTGTGAGGGCTATACGGCTTGTTCACAGTCGTCAGTGTGATGCAACTTTCAAAGCTTTATTAAATACTCTGTTCAGATTTTCAGATCTGTCTTTAGATTTCACAAACGGCTGCCGAGCATTCCTTACAATAAATGAACTGTGCCCACATTGCAAGAAGAGGTTATTAGAAGCTAGCATTGTGATTTCTGGTAGCCGGTTTCTCAGTTCATGTAAATACAAATTTTAACTTACAGGAACAGTTGATGTCAAGTTGAGGTCAGAGAGGTCAAGACAACTTTGTGAGTGAACCGCTGAGAGCATCTCTAGAATAGCAAAAGAGCTTCAGTGAAATAAATTCACTGTGTCAGTCTGCAGCGACACCTTTCTGACCTCAAAATCCCGTCCTTTAGCCTCACCACAAAAACATCCGACATCTCCAAAAGAACAGCCAAACCATAATTAAAGATATGTTTGGAGAAAATGGCTTTAATGAAAAGAGGAGTTATTGATCCTGTTGATTAGTTCTGCACTTGTGTTTCAGATCATTTGTAATGCTTTGTGTAAATCAGTTAATGTGCATTCATTAAGCTGCCCTGTTTTTGTTTTTTACTATTTTAACATTCATTTTTACCTTTGAAGTTGTTTTCATCCTGAGCTGATAGCTCTTGGCCACATGCTAACAAACACTTTGGCTGTAGCGAGATGAATGAGACACTTCAGGGCTGTATTGTGCACAGTCCTGGTGATATCAAAGACCTCATTATCTTAACTCAGAGAAGTTATCTTACTCTCTCAATGCTTCTTAGTTGGTTCTAATGATCTTTGTCTCCTACATGGAGGCTACAATAACACTCAGGATTAAAGTGTTCTATTTCAAAGACACATAATTCTCCTGTTAGCGTTTGTACAATGTTCTGCTGGTGTAGTTTTCTTTTTGTTCAAATAACCCCTTCTGCTCTCTGATTGGTTTAGCTCCCTCTCATAGTCTGTTGCTGGGCTACTTCTGGTTAGAAAGAGACAGAAAAGTCAGCACACTAAATGTTCTTGGTATAGCATGTCGAATTT